GGTTCGGCCCGGCCCGCCTCGCTTCGGCTCCAGAGGCTGGAGGCAGCTCTGTGACCACCGAGGGGGCTGCGAGCGGGAGCAGCTCCGCAGGCCGAGGAGAGGAGGGTGCAGTTAGGAGCAGGTCGCCCTGGGCAGCTCTGCGGTGCTGCATGTCCCTGTCACGGGCACAAGGACCTCGGCTCCTGGGTGAGCTGCTCCCTGTCCTCCCTGACCGGGAGGATCAGCAGCTCCGGGGATGCAGCGTGGGGTTTCATCTAGGGTTTCACACATGGGGGCAGCTCTCCGTGTGTTTTCCCTTAGTGGCCACCAGCAGTTTCCCAGGTGATTCCTCGCACTGAGCATCTCCACCAGCAGCACCGGTCGCCTTTCACCTTCACAGCTTCCCCATTTTGGAGTATTTGTGCCAGGGAGGGTGGCTCTGGGGAGCAAAGATCTCTGTCCTCTCACATCCCCTCTCTCCCCGGCTCCAAACCAGCCCAAACCCACTCTTCCCAGTCACTCTGCAACCCAAACCGACCAGCACCTTCTCAGCAGGTTGGTGTTGGCTACAGCTGGTACCTCCTGTCTGGAGCAAGCCCCATTTTCCTCTTTTTCCTCTTGTAACACGCAGTGGCAGGGTCATCTCCAGGGCTGCGGTCAGGGTGCCAGGCACAAGACGCAGCCCACCAGACTCCATCTGGTTTGTGCTTGCAACTTGCAAAGCAGCCAAATTAGCAGTGTGGGCTCAGACAGAATAACAGCTTTGCTGAAAGCCTTCCATGCCCCTGTCCCTGCCATCCTGGACTCGGAAAGGTGCTGTCCCCACGTTGTATCTGGTGAGCAGAGCCCGGGCCAGCCGTGCTGGTGCCGGTCCAGCTGGGTGTCTGCTGCCCCCGACCGGAGAGCCCCGGAGAGGCTTCCTGGCCAGCAGCTCCCATCCATGCAGAGGGGCAGCTGCCAGTTATTCACTTGCAGCCAAGAGGCTGGACCCATCCCAGGAGCTGTGGGTTTGGAATCACAGCTCTTCTCATCACCTGCACTTGGACAAGAGGCACTGCAGGTCCCTGCCTCAGTTTCCCCATCTTTGCCATGCAGGCAGTTGTGAGAAACAGGTGCCCAAAATGCCCAAAAAAGACCATGCAAATAAAAAGCCTAAGTACTCCACATGGTTACTATTGTTATTAAGATGATTATTATTAATAGTGATAATTGGGAGCACTGGATCCAGGCTTTATCTGCTGCTGCTGGAGATGGAAGTTTCTTACAACCTCAAACAGCAGAGCTTGATTTAGGCAGCTGCCATTTATATGGCTGGACTCATAAATACAATTGCTTCATTTACTGCTGCAGTAAAGTAGACAGAAGCGATTACTGGAGCAATATTGCCATCCCCACCTCACTCTCCAGCCCTTTCCATGCTAGCAAAAAACCTTGTGGAGCTGCAGCTGAAGAGATCTCCATGTCAGGCACCTCTCCCATCTCACACAGGATCCCTGTTCCTGCCCTTTGTGCAACGAGCTGGGCAGCCTCAGCGCTGGGGAGCAGTGGTGCTAAAGGCAGGGAGGAGATTTGCTCTGCCTGGTGTGAGATATGAAGATGGGACATTTGCAAGGAGGCCCAGAACATACAGAAGTAGAGCTAGCAAATGAGATCCTCACTGACACCCAGAAGGAAACCTGCCTGCTCAGCTCCTGTGAAGGCATCTTGTAGCTTGCTGACCTGCTTGGGGTGGCTCAGACTCGCAATATTCCTGCAATTTGTGCCTAACAAGCAGGTAGAAAACTAGAACAACACAGATGACACCAGGAAAGATGTTTGTTGTGTTGAAAATACATATCAGTAAAGAGGAAAAAAAATAATAAAAAAGAAACAAAGTATAGAACCAAAATCCCCAACAGTTTGCATCAGAATAAGTGCAAAATGCCCCTGGTAAATGCCTTCATTCTTGAAAGCTGCCGGAGGGATTTGATCTGGGACAGAGACACCAGTGATGGAGTAAATCAGGAGAAGCTTAGGAAAGCCCAGCAGCAGATGCAGCAGTTGGTGTGCAGCAGTGTGACTTCCCTCTATGTCTTTTCTTGTTTTTATTGAAGAAGGCCTTGGGTTTTCGATGGCCTGAAAAGCCCTCGTTCCAGCACATTGGGAGGAGAAATTGGCTCCTTGGCAATACCGAATTTTCAGGAAAATGTGGCAGCTTGCAGGGCTCAGGACTGCACATTGGGGTTGCCCATGGGGGTCCTTGCCCCTTTTCCTGTACACGTGTCCTCCACATCAGAAAGAGCAATAAGCACCAGGGAGACCACACTGGGGTCCCCCATTTCTTGCAAAGATACCGGGAAATTTCCAGACTTGAAAGTAAATACTTATAGGCCAGCTGGGTGAAGGGTGAGGGGGGACAAGACCACCCCCCAATTTCTGCAGCAGCCCTAAGGCAGGTTTGCAGCCCACAGCTCCAAAGCAGGGAGCTACAGGAAGCTGGGGACCCTGCTGGTCCTGGCTGTCATTGAGGACCCCTTGGCCAGGTCCCTCCTGAGCAGGAATTCTGGGGAGACCCATCCTATCCCCGCTCCTTGGTGACCCAGCAGTATCCCAGCCCACAGCCACCTGTGGATCCCGCTCTCCTGCAGCCGGAGTGGGACCACTTGGGACAACATGCCCGGGAAAACCCTCTCCCCTCGCCTTGCTGGGCTGGCAGTGAGAGACCAAGTACCCAGGGCTCACGGGGCTTTAGCTCCTATAAAATGCCAGAGCTGATGCAGAATCAAGATGCCCTCCCTGCCAAAGAGCACGAAAGGGAAGATCCTACCCCAGTCTCCCAGACATCAAAAAGAAACAGCATAAAATTATCTGCAAGACTCCAATTCACTCTCAGGGCTGCAGAAGGTGCCTCTGTCACATCCAGCATTGAGACTCATACAGAGCTGCAGTATAGAGATCTTTCTATGTATATATTTATAGGTATGTATATATTTATAGTGCATTGCATTTAAAAGAGCCGGGCCTGCTTCTTCAGCTCGTTCCTCTTCCACAGGGCCAGGCGGTCGAACTCAGCGATGGTCATGCCGAAGATCTGGTAGAATTCCTCCTGGGAGAGGTGGCGCTGGGGAGAGAGGGGCTGGTGGGACAGGGGCTGGAGGTGCTAGGAGGCAGGGCTGGGTACTGGGGCCGGGGCTAGGCTGGTGGGACACTATTCCCATGGAGGACAAGTGGCACCTGTGGGCACCTGGTGGCTCCATGGGGTCTGATGGGGTGAGACGCAGGTTTGGGGACCGCCCAACCAGGCCCCTCTAAGCCCCAAGGATATTCTGCGTGGTGGAAAAGGCTCTCCTCACCTCTAACCGAGTCCTGTCCACATCTTTGGGCAGCTGGTTCCTCCCTCTCGTCTTCACCAGGAGCAGCTCATACGGATATATCTACATGGAGAAGTGAAGACCATGGGCTAACTCTGGAGCTAGAAGAGTGCAGCACTTGGGACAAGCTTTGAGGATGTGGGGACACCAAGGCAAAGGCTACCCCTAGGGCACTTGGCTGGCTCAGCCACCCACCAAGTCTTGGACAGGGCATGGCTAAGATGGGGCCAGGCTTCCAGGGTGACTCTGATCCAGAGCCTCTTTTGAACCAGCTTGGTGGTTCTTGAATGGCAATGTGGAGGTCTTCTTTCTCTGTAAGGCCCACAATGATCCAGAGCTAGACATGAGCAGGAACCAGCCAGCTCAGCCACCAAATCTGCTCAGCAAAGAGTTTGGGACACTAGCAGGAGGGGAGGGAGTCTGAGTCCTGGGATGGGGCTGGCTGGTGGGAAGCTTAGAAGAATGGAGGAGAATGAACCCTCCATCACAGCAGGGTCTGGAGACACAAGGGAGCCTCTCAGCAGGAGGGACGTCCTCTGGGTGGCACTTGGGCACCTCTGGGCTGCTCCTTGGAGCAGGGACCTGCCAGCAGGGCCGTCTTACCTTGTACTCTGCAGGGAGAGAGAAGAGACAAGAAACAGAGACATGAGCCACTCTGACACTGCCTTGGCCAAGACCCATTCCCCAGAGCTGCAGAGACCCCATCCCGTCCCTCTAGCCCGCGAGTCGTGGCCAGGAGGGCTGTGTCCTCCCTGCATAGCCCCTCAGCCCGTCCCTGCTTACCTCGCATGCCCCAGTTGACAGCATTGGTGCTGTCGTAGTGGAAGAGCTCAGCGCTGGGAGGCTGCGAGGGGACACAGGAGAAGGCAGTGAGAACGAGGGGGTCCCGTCCCAGCGCTCGGCACGTCAGCACAGCCTGCGCCCTCCACCCCAAAGGGGGACCTGCTCCCCAAAGCGGGCAACGGGGAAGCAGGGCTCTTGGCACACGCTTACCCTGTGCAGCCCGTTCCTCCTGTAGGCAGGGAGCGAGGCCGACTTGGAGATGAGGGGGTCTGGAAAGAAACCCGTAAGGTGCATGCATGAAAAGGCCCTGGTCCCACAGGATGGCACCCCCGGTGACCCTGCCGCCGTGCTCACACATCCCCGCTCCGCACAGCGCTCCAGCCCCACGTTACGCTCCTTCCCACATGGCAAATACACACTCTTTTGTCCCCAAATGCCCTTTCCAATTCCTACCCATCCCTATCCACTCCTGAACTTACCTAGCTCTGTCGACACCTCTCCGGTTCCTTCTCATTTCCTCCCCTTTCCCTGCCACGCTTACATTTCTCTCTCCCTCTTCCATAGCCACTGTCTCTTCTCACTCTTCACCCTGACAGGCCCGTCTCAATCTCGCTTCTTCAGACCCAATCCTCTCCCTGCTCCCAGCGCTATCCTGCTCCCTTAGCACACCCCTTCGAGCAGGTCTTTCTTCTCCCATTTCTTCCCGGCCGGTCCCAGATCCACATCCACGATGTCAAACAGAGGCAGAAGGGCCACGAGGGATGAGGGACTCACCGCTGTCAGCCAGGTAGTGCGTCCGGGGAGCTGCAAGGAGAGCAGAGGACGGCTCAGAGGGGAAGAAGGGCCCAGCATCACGCGGGGCTCCCTGCCAGCCCAGGTCCCATTGGCCGCCAGCCCCACCGGGTGCTCCTCAGGACATTTGGGAGATCAGGGTAAGAACAGAGCCCTCCAGGGAAAAGTCACTCCAGGCCCATCCTGGAGTCCAGCCCACCCCTTCCCAGTCTTGTATCCTCCCTCTCCAGTTCCCGCAGCGCCTCAGGGTCCTGCCACAATGGACGGGGACTACAACGCGATGGCTGGGGGCAGCCGTCACCCTTACAGCCGTTGAGGGAGCCCTCGTAGCCCGATGTGTGCAGAGCCTCCCTGCTGCTGGCCGAGCTGCGAGGAGGCGTCCAGGGGTCCGCGTAGGAGTTGGACCGGGCCTTCATCTCCTCCCTCAGGATCAGCCTGCCGATGCCGCCCTGGATCTGGGCACCAAGGAAGAGCTGCTCTGCACCCGTGCTTTCACCCTGCCAGCCCTTGCACCATGGGAGGGCACAGCATGGGCTCGTCAAACCCCATGGCCCTCAGGACGAGCACGGGCTCATCAAACCCCATCTGCTGCCCCTCGCACCAGGAGGGTGGCCATCGAGCCCCTTGCTGCCCGGTCCCCATCGGGCTGCGGGCACAGAGCATCCCTTACCTTGTGCATGCCCCGCTCGTACCCGTCCTCCTCGCCTCCCGACGAGAACCTCCGGGCCCGGGGTGCTGCAAGGAGACACGTGCTGGGCTCACATGGGGGCAAAGCCAGCGGCAAGTGGGGAGCAGGCAGTGCCCAGCTGGATGGGGACAGCTGTTCCCAAGGGTTGCCAGGATTTGGGGTGCTTTGGCAGGGTCTCTGTCACTCCTGCTTCTTGAGCCCACCCTTGGGTCCAAGTCCAGCAGGGAGGTCCCAGGGCAAATCTCCCCACATGTGTCAGGTGTGAGGGGAGGTTTCCCAAACCGAGCCCTGCTCTGGCTGCTCCATTACCTTTGGGGGACCCTTGGAAGGACCAGTACTCTGACTCGGAGTGGTAGTATGGGTCCGGGGAGTAGGCAGGGCTGTACTTGGACGACTGCGCGATGTCTTCGCTGGTTTTGCTTTTAGTGGCTGCAGGGGAATTATCTGCAAAAGGAGTGTGGAGAGCTGTAACAAGGACACGTCCTCCCTCTGAAATGACTTGCAAAGATCCACCTGGAGATGAAGGAAATTCCTCTTCCCTCTCCACTCCCTGCCCCACATGGCAGCAATATGTGCACGGGACAGCAGAGAGCACAGCTGGAAATAACCTCTTTGCAAACTGCTAGTGGGGACAGTCACAGACACAGGGTCTGTTGCCAAGATGGGAATGGACCCAGGTGGCTCATAGACTCCAGCCCACAGCACCAAACCAACTTCTGTGCCCTGCATAGTCCCTACCCCAGCTTCCAGTGCCCAAAGTGTCCCCTGGCAGGGACCTGTGCCCCTCCGGCTGGCCCATCACCAAAGATGGCAATAAATGCAGAGGCATCTGAGCAGGACTCCAGCGGGAAGGGATGGAGGAAGGAGCATTCCCCATGGGGAGGGAAGCAGCAGCTTATGCCAAGGGAAGGCTAAGGTGGCTGCGTAGCAGCAGGGAGCAGAGGGGACAGCCCTGCATTCCTGTCCAGGCAGGTGCTCAACTCCCAGCAGGACAAACCCACAGATTGGGATCCTCTGCATCCTCTCCCAAACCTCTGGGGTCATGCATGGGGAACCCAGCAATGCTCGACTCTCTCCTCCTGCTCTGACAGGAGACACAAATGCCCTGTCCCTGGGGACGTGAGGGGCCCCCAGGAGCCGGGTGTTGGGTAGGGATAGCGAGGTGCAGGCAGGGAGCCGCCGCGAGCCCTCGCTCCCAGCACAGGACACTCAGCAAACGGCAGCTACTTACAGCAGCGGGTGCAGCAGCCAGGGACCCAAAGGGAGGTGGGAAAGGAAAGGCCGCAGAGAGAGAAGGAGACACAGGGTTATTGCTCACCGGGGGCAGCTCCCCTCCCGCTGGGCACCAATGCAAGCCGGGGAGAGCAGGGCAGCCCTAGGGAAGAAGGTGACCCCCAACTCCCACGCCTGCACCTCCCACCCCCAAACTCCTCCTCAGGGCCCATTTCAGTCACAGTATCTGACCATGAAGGCTGGTGATTTTTCTTATAGGTCCACGTGAAACTCTTATTTACCTTCTTTATCCCACTCCTGAGGCTGCTCTGGCTCCTGGTCTTGGCAAGCACTGGCCGCCCTCACCCCTGCTCCCATTGCCCACAGCAGCAGCCTCCTGCCCTCCCGTGCCTCTCCAGCCCTGACCCCTATGCTTGGCCTTGCTGCTGCAGCCCTGAACACCCCTCTTCTGCTAACCCCGGAGGACGACATCCCTTTCTGTCACCCCTTTCAGCCCCCCAAACCCCAGGCTCTCACCTTCCTCCTTGCTCATATCTGCTACCTCGTGCTGCCCCCTAAGCAAAGCCATCCCCTTGGCCCCGCACGGAGCAGACTCGAGCCCTGCTGTCCCCACTGCGGCTCAGCCAGCCCCAAACCCGCGCTGTCCTCCCAGCTCACAGCCTGCAGCTCTGTCCAGCTATCCCCACAAACCCGCGCCTCGTGCGCAGAGGGCAGACTGTACCGTGTCGCTTGTAGATGGGGGGTTTCCGGTAGATGTTACTCTCGCCGGCAGCTGGTGGAAGAAGAAGGCAAGAAAGGGAAGCAAGAAGGGAAGAAGGAAGGAAGGGGAGGTCAGTCCGAGTTTGCAGAGAGTGGGCAGGACGCGGGTCCTGCGGGAGATGCTCTGCCCAGGTTGCTCCACGGCCTCCAGGTCCGAGCGTCCCGCTGGGAGCGCAGAGCTGGGCCAGGGCAGACGGTAGCGGGGCGCACGGGACATGCAGCGAGCGCCCGAGCGGCAGCATGCACCTCGGCACAGCGGATCCCGCTGCTGCCCATGCTCTCCTCCGACCGAGGGGCCGGGCAGGAGAGGATGGGGATGCGGCCGGGAGCCGCCGGCTGTGCCCTGGGCTGGCGCACAGCCCCACGGCGCGTGCTGCCGCACTCCCTCGGGGGTGCATGAGCCTAGCAGGACCATCCACGCTCTATCTGAGGGCAAAACAAACTGAGCCGAAAGCCTCTTTCCGCAGCACAGAGAGAAAAAGAGCGAGCTGGGAGGAGGAAGCAACCTGGAGCCTTGCAGCGAGGCCCCGGCCCCGTGCAGGGGCCAAGCAGCTGAGCCGGCGGAGCAGCGAGGGGGCCATCCATAAACCATGGACCGTGAGCAGGAGGGCAGGCCGGGCAGCGGGGCCAAGCCTGGATGGGACGGAGCGGGGAGCTGCAGTGGGAAGCCTCAGGGTGTCCTCCTGGCTGGTGGGCATGGGATCTATAGGGGGGTCCCACTGTGGTGCAGCGGGAAGTGCCTACAGCTGAGCAGGGAGCAGCCCCGGGGCTAGCACGTGCCTGGGGCTAGCGCAGGGTCTCTGCTCTGTGCACACTGATGGGCGGCTGTGCCTGCTGCCCTCCCTCCTGTGCCCGCTCCAGCCCCTGTCCCCGTGGGCACTGCGTGGCCGGGAGAGGGTGGGTGGTGGTGGCCCTTACCTGGTGGCCCCCTGCAATCCCTGCAGAAGGGGAGCAGCCATCTGGCAAGCCCAGAAGACTCTGGGGGGAGGGAGCGGCGGGCCCTAGGGGGAGTATAAAATAATCATCTGTAAAGGATGGGTGCTGAAAAAAACAGCTTCGCCTCGTGGTCCTGGGCAGGAGGCAGGGGAAGGCGCAGGCTCTCTGCAGGGGCTTGTCCGTGTGCGGAGTGGAGGAAGGTCAGGGAGAGGAGGAGGAAGAGGGACGTTGCAAGGATCAAGCAGACTCCGGAAGGCTCCGGGACCTCTGGGCAGTGATGGGGAGGGAGGGGAGTTCAAGCTGCAGGTCCTGTTTATGGATGGCCTCTACCAGGGGTAGATCCTGCTGCCAGCTGGCTCTATGCAGGCGGTGGAGCTACTCATGCAGCACACGGGGAACGGCACATGCGGGCATGCGACACACGGTGCTTCCCCACGGGGTCGGGGCGCTCCAGAGCCTACCTGGAATGTGGAAATGCTTGGGCGCTTGGTATGAGGTTGGAGTAGAGGACCTCACATCTAACTGGCTATAGTAGGGGGAGCTGCGCCCGCTCTCTGTGCCTACGCGGTGCCGAGCAGAAGCAGCCGTAAGTGACCGAGAGAGAGAACAAGAGGCAGAAGAAAATGGGTGTTAAATGCAGCGGTGTTAGAAGAGCGGGGAGCTCCCCAAGTGGTAGGTGAGATGGGGACGTGTGCCAGGCCGTGGCCCAGGATGAGGGGTGATGGAGTGAGGGGAGATGTGCTGCATCTCTGAACGAAGGCGGGATGCAGAGGAAGCCCCGTGAGCGGGTGCTGTTACAAGGCAGCAGATTCCCCCATTATTCATGATGGGAAGGTCAAAAACCCTGCAACTGAAAGCAAAGTGAATGGCCCTTTGCTGTGCAACGCAGGAATAACGCCAGGGATGCAGGACTTCCAGACTTACTGATCTCGGATTTTCCTGTCTGTTCCTCCCCAGCTCTGAACGCCAGGAGCTGTGGGATGGACACACTCTGCCTCTTCCCTAGATGTGCTCCAGGGTGCATGTGCATAAGGAGTCTTGCGGCAGTGGCAAGACACAAACATTCCTGTGTATCCCCCTTGCCTGAGCCACCAACCCAACCCGAGTTACTTCTGTTCTCCGGACTTCACTGGATCTTGGCACCACATCCCTCCCTATCCCATTTTCCACAACCTAGCTCAGCTTTGGGCCAGGACAAAGCCCCTTTGCTCTCCTCACTGCTCGCTCAGTGAGGCTGGAAGTGGAGGAGGCACCAAGGAGCCAGCCACTGCCCACAGCCCCCATCACTGTTGGTCCTCAGGGACCCACCAGGCAGCCTGTGTCCTTGTCCCAGGCTTAACCAGGGCTCAGAGGTCCCTGGGAGAAGCAGGGATAGTCTGGGGAGCCCCACACGCTGGGGCACCCGAGCTCGGCCCAGCCTGGCAGCGCAGCCGGGATCCTCACCTGAGCGGTAGAAGTGGTGCGGGGACCTCGGGATGGTGGGTGACATGCCCTGGCGGCTGTAGGTGGGAGAGTCGATGTAGCCGGGGCTGGAGGCTCGTCTCTGGCGGATGTCGATGCTCTCGTAGATGTCCTAGGAGCAGGGCAAGGTGTGGAACAGAAGGTCGTGGTTAGAGCAGGCGCTGGGGCTGACAGGGCACAGGAGATGCTGGGAAGCGCCAGCAATGGCAAGATCAGTGCCTTGCAGGGCCCTCTCCTTCGGGAGAGCATCCCAGGACTGAGTCCCTGTCCCTGGCAGCCTGGAGGGCCTGGCTGAACCATTTTCTTCCTTTCCTGCCTGGGGACTATCCCCTTCCCGCCCTGTTCCCAATCACAAGCCTTCCCGTCCATGGCATGGAAACCACCACGGGGCTGCTCTGCCCTGGAGCAGCTTTCCCCCATGGATGGGAGCAGCCCTCTCAGGCAGGGGCTCCCCATCTCCACCACCCACACGGTGCTCAGCAGAGCTCCTGCTCCCCGCGGTGCCGCTCAGATGCTTCTACAGCAAGAAGGACGCAGCACCATGGCCAAATTACCCCCCTCGCCCCAAATTACCCCGCTATAGCCACCCCCCTGCCCCAGCAGCGCTGTGGGCCGTTACCTGTGAGTAAGGGGACAGGGCTCCCAGGGACTGCAGGCAGTGGAGGCAGAGGGGGAGAGAGAGAGACAGCACATTGTTATCAGCAGCAGTGACAGGCCGGGGTCATGGGGCAGCCCGTTTTCCCCACATCACAGCCCACTTGCTGGAAATGCAGCCTTGCTACAGCTGCCAGGCACTGAGGGTGGCCAGCGGGACAGCAGGTCCGGCGATGGGTGATAAATAACGGCTTGTCCCCATCTCTGCTGCTCCGCTTTGGGCCAGGGTGAAGCTGGGTTCCACAGCTCAGCAGCCCAGACGTGCTCTGAGAAATGCCCAGCAAATATCCCCGCTGGCCATGGGCTCTTCCAGCACTGGATCCCCGCTGCCTGCATCAGCCTCCATCGAGGCCAGGGAGCTGGAGGGAGCTCTCTCCTTTCCCCAGTGCATGGGGCATCACCCAACGTAAAACGCGTCACCCCTTTGGGCAGCGCTGCGGTGGAGCCGAGCTCCAGAAGCAGCAGCAACGGAGCCTCCTGGTCTGCGCCTCCCTGGCCGTGCTCCCCTGTGACCTGTGCCCATGGCCTTGGTGGCACTGCCATGGTGCGCTGCAGGAAGCGAGGCTTGTGACGAGCCCTGGGACCAGGGATGTAAGGGATGCTGCCGCCTCCAGGATCACCTCGAGGGTCCCAAATCCTGCTCTCATGGCCTCCGATCTCTGCGGGAGCTGTGCAGACCCCCTCTGCAGATCCCCTTGCTCTCACTTCCTTGGTGAAATCAGCCAACGCTCCCCCCTGCCCTGGGAAGTGGAGCAGGGAAGCCCCACGGGGTAGGAGCTGCTTTGGCATCATCTCACAAGGTGCTTTGCAACAAGGCGCCGACCCGGTTGTCTTCCCCAGTTCCAGAACCAGCTGCCTACATGGGCACCTGAGCCAGGCCTGGGCTATCCCAGCTCCTCCATGCAGCTCCGGAGCAGGAGGCACCGTGCACACAGGTCGCAGGACCTGCTCGGAGCCAGGCTTTGAGCAGAGCCCTTGGGTGACACAGAAGCATCCGGCTGGTGATCCATCCCTGCATCCCAGAGGGATGTGAGCTTCTCCCCTCGTCCAGGCTGCAAGGGGAAAGCCTCCCTGCCACACCAGACCCAAGGGTGATTCTTGTCTTGCCTGCCCTGTCCCTGAGACTCCTGCAGCTCTGCATGGAGCGTGTCGAGACTCAGTACCTCCCCATAGCTATATCTCTCCAGCGTTTCATCCGATGTGTATCTGTGATAGGGCTCGTACGAAATGAGGTCAGGACGCTGCACTTCATAGATGGCTTTAATCTTGGGAAGAGCTGCCAGGTCTTTGTAATTAAGGATCTCATTATCCACTTTAGCCTAGGGAGAGGGAGACACAGAGACAGAGAGATGGAAAGGAAGAGAAGGCGAGAGGGAAGGAGCGCACAGTGCGGAGCCGAAAGCAGAGCAAACAGCCTGATCGCCCCCATAGCAGACAGAAGAGGTGAGCAGAGACCCCCTGAGAGGCAGCAGCGGGAAGGGGCAGAGGAGCTGGGGTGGGAGGACTGCGGGACAACATCCCTCTGAGCACTCCTAGTCCATTCTAACGACAGTGCCAGCAGGATGTCTCACTGGGGTGAGGGCAGCACGGCCCCAAAATCTGGTCTTGTCCCCTGGGGACACCTCATGCTGCAACCTGGCACTGGGGGCCATTGGTCCATTCTCGGAGCCTGCCCCAGACCCACGGCAGGAGCTCTCGGGCCAGCCCATGGTGAGAGGAGCAGAGCTGTACTTACGCAGATGACTCGGTTCGGGGAGCCGATGCTGGAGCCAGGGGGTGAGATGGAGGTTTCTGATGTTCTCCTGTGCTGTGGACACAGAAAAGCGGCAGCAGGTGAGAGCCCAGGTGGCCTCAGCCATTGCTCGAGTCAGTGTGACCAGGGCATGGAGGGGAGGGACCTGCAAGCAGGCGCATCGCTGTGCACAGCAAGGACGAGGGAGGGGATCCTGCCCCTCTACTCAGCCCAGGTGAGGCCACATCTGGAGTATTGTGTCCAGTTCTGGGCTCCACAGGACAAGAGGGATGTGGAGCTGCTGGAGAGAGTCCAGCACAGGGCTACAAGGATGATCAGGGGCCTGGAACATCTGCCCTATGAGGAGAGGCTGAGGAAGCTGGGCCTGTTCAGCCTGGAGAAGAGAAGGCTGAGAGGGGATCTAATCAGCGTATATAAATACCTCAAGGGAGGGAGTGCAGAGGACGGGGATGATGTCTTTTCAGTGGTGGCCACTGATAGGAAATGGCCGGAAACTGAAACATCAAAAATTCCATAGGAACTTAAGGAAAAAGTTCTTAACAGTGAGGGTGGTCCTGCGCCACGTGCTCTAGGTGACCCTGCGTGTGCAGGGGGTTGGACTAGATGATCCCTAGAGGTCCCTTCCAGCCTTAAGCATTCTGTGATTCTATGACAGGGTTGGTACAGGGCTCTTGCAGGCTGCCCAGTCTCTTCTGGGGACAGATCCAGACCCCACAGGACAACCCTGTGCCTGGCACGAGTGGCCTTGCAAGACCCTGCAGGCAGTTGCTGCAGCAGGTCATGTCAGGATGGGCTGAGAGCCTGGGGACCAGCACCCTGGGGACAGGCCACCTCCCTGAGCAAGACGCCTCTCCCTGCCACCTACCTTCAGTTTCTTCTCTGCTCTTGCTGCCTGCTTGCATATAGGGTGCCACACTTCAGAGCCTGAAATGCAGAGGAGGGAGAGAGTTTTTAATGCCGTATGCAGCCCGAGCCAGCTGTTAGGGGACATCTAACTGCCTCTGCCACGAGTGAGCCCCATCCTGTCCCTGCAGACACCCCTGCTCCTGCCATTTTAGCAAGTGGCCCCTGCAGCACCAACCTGGAGCTTGGCTGTCCCTCCTGGCAAGGGACATGCCCGTGCTCTCCTGGGCAGCAGTAAAACTGAGACACAGGGGAGCTTCTGCTGCATCTAAGCAGCATCACACTCAGGTGAGCAGTTCCCTGCCTTAGGCCCACCTGGAGAGGGGCAGTCCCACAAGGACAACAGCTGGGAGGAGGATTTGAGCTGTGCTGGGTCCCACGGGCTTTCCTGGGCATAGGAAGGCAGCGCTTTTACCAGTGCCCTTTTACCAGCTGCCCTGAGATCAGGGCCATCCCCACTGGCCAATTAAACGGTTCCTGAGCACTGGGACTTAGTGTAAACCATGATGACAGACCCAGGGCAGGGGGGCATTGAATGATTCAACCAGATCATGCGAATGATTCAACCAGGTCATTCGCAGTCCCGGCTCAGGATGCACGTAGCATCCCTTGAGCGCTCCCTAGACCAACACCAGCAAAGCCAGAGAGCTTCACGGGTGCTGCTGGCTGCAGCCCAGCGACGAGCCCACCGAAGGGACCTTGCTGGGACCCCCTGCCTCTGTCTCCTTCCCCGACTCTTCAGCCAGCCCTGCAATTGCCCCTTTCCCACCCATTTGCATTTTAATTAGTGACTCAGGATGTCAGGCGAGCACAGGAGGTAAAACAACCCTCCCTCTGCACCCACAGCAGCTCCAGGCAGGGGTGAGCTCCTGCAAGACGAAACCTCCCAGCTGCACTGGCAAAGGCTCAACCCTCTCGGTGCTGCTTTCCATTGGAAAAAAAGCTGTGGACAAGGGCAGGGAAAAGGCGGGAGTCACCATCGCAGCGGGATCCCCTGTGACAGCAGTGTCCCTACCTGTCAGGTACATCTCCTCTCCTTCCGTGAACATCTGGTGGCAGCGGACGCAGCGGGCGCACGTGGGGTGGTAGTGCTTCCCCCCGGCCTGCAAGCGAGCAGAGAAATCAGCCCCTGAGCAAGTGCTGAGCTGCTCATGTGTCCCAAGGCCAGTGGCCCTGGTGTCCCTCTGTGCTGCAGGAGGCACCCAGGTGACCGCAACCAAATGCTTGGGGCAGCCCCAGAGACCACTGCTACATGCAGAGAAAACCGGAGCCTGCTCCATCCAACGCTCCCGACTGCAAGATTATGGATCATGCTGGCAGCCTTTCGCTTTAAACATCTAAGAAAAAGACAGCAGGGTCAGGAGGTCCCAGACCCCAGAGCAAAGCACTCAGACAAATTTCACCCTTAGTAAATTAATCTTGGACTCTAGAAGCAACTCTGATCCTCTGAAGTAACGCTTAGCCAAGTGCTTGTGTTTTGTACCAGTTCCTTCCCTCTATAAGGCTAAGGTTTTGAAGAAAACCAGCAGCATTAATGGTCACACATATACATGGGAAGGGAGAAAGATAAACCTGGCAAAGCAAAGGGAACCCCAGGCTTCATCCTGAAGCTCAGCTAAGCCAGGGGAAAGCCCAGCCCTGAGGTGCTGCAGATCCTCCCCGGTTGTCAGTTCTAGCTCCTTTTCCATGAGCTGAAGAAACTTTCCTGCTGGTTTGGTGAACCCATGCCCAAACTCCACCAGCAACAACATGCTGTTTTCCCAGAGGAGCTGGAGCAGAGCTGCTCCCTTTGCTCTTTGACAGGGATAATAGGTTTAATTGGTAGCTTGTTTCCATTCAAAGTGTCTGTTAGCATTTCAATTATAGGCTCATTTTCTAGGCTCTGAGGTAGGAGCTAGCTCAGGGCTAAGAGAAACCTGGGCTGTGCTGGAAGAGCAAAACCCACAGGGACATTTTACCCTGCTGATAATCCGAGAGAGGGAGAAGAATGCTTTAAGGAGGCAGAGGTGTCCCTCACTGTCAAAGGGAATAGTTATGATATCTAGGGCAGAGCATGGAAAGAGCTTGAAAAGGGGGAGGATCGATAGGGAAGATTGCTATGATTCCGCCCCAAGGAAACTGTTGATTGCTGGGATAATCAGTGGGATTCATGGCTCAGGGATTCTCTGCAGCGATGCAGATGGCAGCTAGTTACCAGCCAGGGGCTTTTCCCCTGCAGTTTATGCAGGATATGAGCAGATGAGTCTTTGACTGGGCAGAAGAAGGGTGGGTGATTTTTCTGTTTTCAGAGGTTAGCAAGTTGCATAGATGCATATTACATTGCATCTTAGCACAGGGGGATCAGGGCAGAGCCACCCAACAGCCCAGACACCACTAATCCAGATCCAAAAGCTTCATATGGAGGTAGGAAAAGCACCCATGGGGCAGATGGAGGCAGGAACAGAGCCTCAAGCAGCAGCAAAGGGTCCAGTCCTTCCCAGAGTGTCACTGGCTCCAGCAGGAAGGAAGAGGTCCCTAAGGCAACGCGAGCAAGGAGCTTTCCTGAGCACGTGGCCCCATCCACAGCTCCAAGGTCAAGATCTTTCATTTAACACTTTGCTGATCTGCGCAAATCAGGCCAACTGATTCCGGGCCATATGGATCCTAAACCAATTTTCCTGCTAAAAAAAATATAAATAAATAAATAATAAAAAGGGGCTAGGACCTTGTCTGGAACCTGTTGCCTCTTTGACATCCTTCCAACAAGCTCATCTCATTTCATGCCCAAGGCTCTGGGGAGGCGACTCATCTGCACTGCCAAAGGAAGAGGCTCATTAAGCAAAGGCCAGTTCCTCCCTATCTAAACTCCGAGCACATCCC